TGGGTGGGCGGGTTTCTTCTGGTGCGAGGGACTGCAGGCAGGGTTCTGGACCACAGCTGTCCACTGGGCATAGGTAGGGCAGCTCCATGCTGGCCCCAGGCAGCCAGCCCATTTTCCTGAACCTTCAGGCCAGCTCCATGTGGTTCCTTTCTTTTTCTTGCTGGTGGGAAAGCAGCTACCCATCCTGCCACGAACTGGGCACTGTGAGTTCTGTGATTGTCCTGTTGCCCCCAGTGCACACTGCCCCTGCGCAGTAGGCGTCACTGTCCAACTTTGCAGAGGCTCAGCGAGGTTACATAGCTTGCATTTGGCGCTGAGCTTGGAAGTGGAGGTGCCAGCTGGCCTGTGTGAAGTGGGAACCTGCTCTGGTCCCACTGCATTGGGACCAAAGCTGATGGCTGTGGAGCTCAAATAGGCCAGGTTGCGGCTTCTTTGGACCCCAGAGTCTCCACCTGCCTCAAGTCTGTTTTCTGTCTCTTGGCAGCCGGTGTCTCACCACCCAGAAAGGGCCTGGTACCCTCCTCCCTGCCATCTACTCCAGTAGAACCAGGAGACAGGCCTCAGGTACGCAGATGGCTGGGTGGGCAGGTGGGGTGTGGGTGAAGAGGGTTGGAGGGGCTGGGGACAGATGGCATTGCTGTGTTCAGAGGGCGCTTGGCCCTTTTCCCACTGGCTTTGGAAGTAGTCTCACAGGCCAGGACAGGTGTCAGGGTCAGGAGATGCCAGGCCTGGGAAGGGGCACAGGGCAGTCCACAACACTGACTCTGCCACCCTGGGCCTGATGGGATTTACACAGTAATATGGCAGATACTCGCTTGATTCCTGGTGAGATAGAGCTTTTAACTTCCCTGGGTGATTTTGTTTAATCTTCTAATAACCCTGGGAGGTTGGTATTATGTGTCCTGACATACAGATGAGAAAACTGAGGCTCAGACAGGCTTGGTCATGTCCAAGGTCTCAGCTGAGAATTGGGGGCCACACTGCCAGCCTCCTGCTTCAAGGTGCTTAGAGGGGTGACACTAGCCCTTCACTTTCAGACAGACTTCACAGTGTGCAGAGGGCACTCCCACCTGCTCCCATCTGCTCCTTGCTGGAGCTGCTGGGGGACAAGGTGGCTGGCCAGGGTGGGTGCCCACTGAGTGTGTGCGGGGCTGAGACAGGCAGGGGTATAGGATTGCAATCTGCAGGTGGGAACCCAGGGCCCAGAGATGCCAGCAGCTTGCTCAAGGTCACGGTGCTTAGAAGTAGAGAAACTGGGATTTAAATCTGTTGGGGCTCTAGGAGGGGAGGCAGAGAAGGCAGATGAGGTGGGCCTAAGAGTTCAGTCATCCCCGGGGACCAACCTGCAGGGATGGTAGATGGGAAGAGCAGCCAAGGGGAAGGGGTCCTGCAGCCCGGAGCCGCCTCTGGTGGGGAAGACCCAGAAACTGCAAGTCAGGACTTGTATGTTTCCATCCTGACTCAGGGACCTTGCGTATGTCTTTTACCCTCTCTGGGCTTTAGTCTTCTCTGTGAAACGGTGACACTTTCCCCTTTCTGGGCTCTGATGAAGCACATTAGCATTTGGGTGCACTTGAGGGACAGCGCCCATTAGAGGGGGGAACAGGATGGCTGGTGACCACCCCCTCACCCCCAATCTGCCCACCGTGTTCCCTGCAGGGCAAGGAGCTCTCCTCAGGTCACCTGTCGGAGCAGGGTGCCCAGCGGACCCCCAGCAGCACGTGCGCGGCCTGTGGGCAGCACGTGCACTTGGTGCAGCGCTACCTGGCCGAGGGCAAGCTGTACCACCGGCACTGCTTCCGGTGAGTGGCGGGGGGCCCGGGCAGGGGCCTGCACCCAGCACCCCAGTAGCAGGGCGGGGCTTCCATGGATTGAGCACCACAGTGCACCAGGCACCCTGGCGGGCTCTGTTTTACTGAGGAGCAAACAAAGGCCGGCTCAGCCGCATAGAGAGGCGCGGGGCTGGGCCCAGGGGCCCTGCCCGGTGCCTGGGCTCCCTAGGGCGAGCTACCTGATGATGTTTAAGGTACTTTAAAAGGCACTGAGGGCAAAAAGATTTTTTAAAAATCACAGTAACAACTTGCATTCTGTGTGTGGCTCCCAGGGGAAGCCAGGTTTAAAGAAAATGGAGTAAGACACAAGGAAAATGCAAATAACTTGGAAAATATATGATACAAAGCGGAAATCAGAAAAGGCCATTGAGGAGCCAAGGGAGCCGGTGCCGGACTCCCACGTGTACTCAGCTGTGGTTTAGTGTGTGTGTGGGGCGGCTGCACCTGGAACCCGAGGACACACTCACCCACAATCAGGTGCAGGACTGAGGTGTCACGGGGGGG